CACAGGCCTATCCCACCCCCAGGAGGGTTGTTTGGTCATTTATTTACCCTCTCCCATCCCCAAACAAATCTCTATGGCCCTGGCATCCCCAGCAAACTCACCCCAGCAGCCTCGGAAAACCTGACTGCTCAAACACAGTCTGGACATGTGAGGTCACACTGGCTAAACACAGGGTTTGATATATGTACCTAGCTTATAGAAGTCAGTCTTTCTCCACCACCTCCCTCACCCCCTCACTGCGAGGCTACCCTGCAACTCAAAAAAGGTAAGTATATCTCCTTCTTATGCTACTTACATCTCTACTAACTATCCCCTGCCTCCACAGAACACCGTTCACGTTGATGACGACGCAACGAAGCGACTGAGCCCCTCCCCTTGCGACAGGGATGTGGGCTCGGACACCTGCCCACCACCGCCCTCTCACCCGCCTCGCCCCCACCGTCTCACCACTATGACAACGATGACAGGCACAGAACAACGATGATGATGATGGGCAGCATGACGATGATGGGGAGGGCAGCACGACGACGGTGGTGGGGGCACTCTGCCTCGTCCTGTCGCCCTTTGCTGCGCCTTCTTGCCCCTCGTCAACCCCTCGGCCGCCCATCGCTCGCCCCTCACCCCTCGTTCGCCCTTGCCGTCTGCCTCACCCCTCTCCCTTTGCCCTGCCCCTCGCCCTCTGCCCCTGAGTCGCCCTCTCGCCTGCTGTCACCCTCTCGCCCACCTCTCGCCGTCACCTCACCCCCTCGCTGTCCGTCCATTGAGGCAGACATCACTGAGGGGAATGACAACGAGTGGCCGAGGGGTTCAACATGCCCCAATGAGGCCCAGGGAGCTGCAGAGGGAAAATGAGTGATGAAGGGACTAACGAGGAGGCGAGTGGGCTCAACGAGCAGAGGAGGGGGCCAAACGAGGAGATGAGGGACCGAACAAGCAGCGGAGGCTGCCTGCAAGCAGAGGAGGGGACGAACGACGAGCTGGGCGGCCCCCACAAACAGCGAAGGGCCCCAACGATGACTCGATGGACACCCATGAGCAGCTGAGGGGACCAACAGCCCCACACGAGCAGCGAAGGGATGAACGACGAGCTGAGGCCCCCCAACGAGCAGCAGAGGGTGTGTATGGGCAGAACAAGCAGGTCCCCCTGAGCAGAAATGGCGTGTTCATAGCGCGCCGTTTCTGCTCATTTTCTCTTTATTTTACAGCAGGTGGCTAGTAGAGCCACCTGCACCATGTATATATTTTACTTCAATTTAATATGATTTTTTTTGTAAAATTTTTCGTGTGTTGAGATGCCCCTGAGCTCGCCGGACGTCATAACAGACAATGGCAAGAGCAATATAATAGATGTGTCATGGTAATTACAGCATAATCTAAAAATAGCTATGAGACCCGCAAAAGGGCCATGTCATCCAAAACACCCCCTCCCAATCCAGCTATCCCACCTCCCCAACGGCAGGGGAAATGGTGCAGAACAGTGAAGAAATATCTTTCCTCATTGTTGGCACCTTTTCCCCGTTGAAAACAGGGGCAGGAGCACCCCAAACGACAAGGAAACAGTGTCCAAGCACTGTTTCCCATGTTGTTTGCATGTATTGACATGCCCTGCCCACAGCTGCAAGCCCTGGCACACCCGGCAAGGCCTGGACTCTAAAACCACAGTCCTGACATATAAGCATACCTTGTTTAAATACAGTATCTGATATATTGTCGTGGCTTATAGAAGTGCATCTGAGCCCAGAATCTCAACTCCCATTTGCGTGCCAGAACCACAAGCTGTTGGGGTGTTGCCCCAATTTGGCTGTTCATGTCGAGTAACCTGCGGAAGGCCTTGATGGTAGGCTCATAGAGCATGATGACTGAGAGGAGGAAGGGGAGGCGCACGGGACACTGCTTGCGCCAGTAGACACTGGTGGTGGACACGAAGGTACAGGAAATATTCGCATCCCAACATAGCACTGCCACCACATCACCTGACATGTCAGATTTTTTTTTTATGATTATTGCTGATTATCGACATCCTGCTCTGTCCCACCATGTCCGCCAAGTCGTCGCAATCACCAGGTGTCACCGGTTTGGTCCCGCAACCCCATGCCATCCCAAAGCTGGAACAAGGTGAGTTTCAGGCTTTGGATTTGCTGTCTCATTTAATGTACTTTTGACAGCTCCAGTATGAGATTCACAGCTGCCTGCACCTCGCCGCAAGTTCAAGCATCGAAACCTAGCTGCAGGAGTGCCAACAGAGCGTCCATTCAAAGTTGCTCATCGGATTGACACTGCAGGACGTAGTCCCTCTTCTGATGGCATTTTGTCCCCAATGCCCACACCGGCTCCAGAGCCCAGAGTCCCTGAGAACCCAACTCGCCGATGCTGGATACGCTGCGCAGTCCAGACAGGTACCCCCGCTCCAACGGAGATCATGCCTCCCCTGAATGCGCCACTCCCTGTCCCCGTCACAGCCTTCGACCATGCTACGATCTCTGTGGAAAGTGAACCACCTCATCACAACTCTCAGCCTGCCATGCCCGCTGCACCCGTCCTTGGTCCGTCTCCCAAAGGACACTCTGTCAAACCTGCACATCGCCACTTCCGATGGAGGAACCCAACTTCCATGCCCCCTCAGTCAATGTTTAGTGAATTGTCTCCCCTCACTGACGATCGCCCCAATCTCACTATTCCTGAAGACACGCTTGCTCCTAATGAAAATCTCCCGTCCCCACAGGCTGTTCAAGAGCATGGTGCGCCCTCCATCCCAAGTCCCCATTCCAGTTCCCGCAGCCCAACCAGAAGTCGCCATGTCCAACTTGCTGTCCCGACCCACAGCAAGCTCTTAATCCCCGGGCAGCCCACGCCACAGAGTAGCCAACAAGAGCCTACAACCTGTTCTTATCCCTACAACGAACTGCAGGCAGTTCACACTCTTATCTGCCACCCTGCTGGCCAGAACAGGCTGCCTTATGGGGTCTCAGCATTATCTTTAGCAATGGCAACTGCTCATGAACAGAGTGTCTATTGCAATGCAGCTGCACAGGTACGAGGGGTGGAGGCTAAGCTGAGGGATCTTGAAGCTTGTATGATGGGGCAGAAGGGGCTCTAAACAACGTAGTTTCTTTTTCAATTCTATCATCATTTCGCGCACCTATAGAACGTTAAGTTGGTGGAGATTATTGCGTGTGCTCCATTATTGTTCGCCCACTGTTACTGGTGATTTCTGAGAAGTCAAAGTTGTAAAAACTCATTTGTCAATGATATCTTAAGGATCAAGATCCATTTCTTGTCTTCCAGTAGGGTTTTTTTTGAACAAACAAATGACTGGCATATATGTTGTCATCTTCCAGACCCTTCATTTTCTCTCATTCTCTCTAGGAATTGTTGCTGACAGTGATATCTCACAGCGTATGTAAGCAGAATATTTGAGGGGCAGATGCGGAACAGTGAGACGGGTCAAATCCCTGAAGCTGACCCCGCCAGCGAATGTACTAGTAGCAGGCAGGCGGAATGAGTACTGAGGGCTGGAGGCAGGTGAAATGGACGGAGAACCGGGGATAATGAATGCCCATTGGCGGGTGAGGTGGTAAGTGCTATGAAAAACTCGGTATATTGTAGGGGTCGTAAGTGCCACGAACGGTTCGAGACAATTGTAGCCCTCCAGATGTTGCACTTACTGTGAATTTCTCAGAATACAATCAGCCTGCTGTCTAGGAGTAGTTCAGTATAGAAGTGTTGGAATCAGCGGGACGGGCCGCCAGCAGTCCGTACTCAGACATTCCACCTCGACGAGTCGCTCCTCGATTCGTCATGTACTTTCTTGTTTATTCTAATTATTTCCTTATGGACATTTTACTTAGTATAGTATTTATTAGAGTATTCTAGCTACTTTGTACGTAGGTATATAAGCCCTCTCGACGGGCGCTAAAGAATGAATCGTCTCTTAACCACATACCACCACCACTGCGCCAACAGGTTATGGGCCCCGAGGCCTAACCAATAGCGACACACTTACATATTTGCAATCGCCCTCTAATCTCCCTACATCTTATCAGCCTAGTTTACTATTATTACCGCCATTATGTCAGACTCTGATTATACTACGGGCTCCTACCGAATGGAACTACTGAAGGCCCATAATTGGATGCCGTGGAAGCGCCGAATGCTTGCAGTGCTTATGGACCTCGGACTGGACAAATATATTGCAAAGGATGCAAAGGAGCCAGAATCAGCCAATTGGAGCACGCCGACAACAGCAGAACTCGATGCACAGAAGAAATGGCGAGAGGGAGATACCAAGGCACGGCTAAGAATAGAATTAGCTGTGAGTGATGCTGAGATGGTCCACATACTCGGCGCGACGACAGCGAGCGAAATGTGGGATCAACTTACCACGGTCAAGGAATCCAAAGGCCGACTTGGAGTGTTGGCTGCTAGGTGCGCGTTGTACAGGGCAACGGCGGAAGAAGGATTTGACATGGCCAAGCATATTGCCAAGCTGAGGCAAATGCAGGAGGAATTACACGTCATGGGAAATAAAATTCCTGATGAAGACTTCCTCATGATCTTGATCACATCGCTCCCGGAATCTTGGGATAATTATACATCGTCCTTCCTGGGATCAAGCAGAAATAAACCGGATCTCAAGTCCCAAGAAGTCGTGGGAATTTTAATTGAAGAAGCTCGAAGAAGGAAGGAACGAGGTGACTCAGGTGGTGTCACACTGCATGCCAAGGGAAATAGCAAGGGCAAGGCTAGCCCGAATACAGAATGTTTTAATTGCCACCAGAAAGGACACCTAGCAAAGGATTGCTGGGCAAAAGGGGGAGGACGCGAGGGACAGGGACCAAAAAGCCGGAAAGGGCCAAATCGGGCCGGACGTACACACCAAGCAGCCGAGGATGCCAATAATTCATTGAACGACACATCGTATATGGCAAATTCTACATATACATTCTCAAAATATGATTGGCTCCTTGATTCCTGCACTACGTCGCATATTTTCCCTGTCCGCGAGGCGTTCTCAGACTATCGACCCCTTACGGATTCACCTATCCAAGGCGTCGGCTCGAGTCCAGCCCAAGCCAAGGGCTGTGGAACCGTAATTGTTAATTTTGCCGTAGAAGGCAAAAATGTCCGACATCAATTATGTGATGTTCTACATGTGCCAGAAGCACCGAACGGACTTATTTCAGTCAGCCAACTTGATGAAACAGGTGGATACCCTATTTTTAGGAAAGGCAAGGTCATTCTGAAGAATAAGAATGACACAACAATTGGCACGGGACGTACAGTGAATAGACTGTACTTAATGAATGCACGGGCAGAGTTACCCAGCACAGAGAAGGCAAATCTAGCAACGCCAACGAAACTCACCTGGGATCAATGGCACCGAAGATTCGGGCATATCGCGATCTCATCATTGCAAAAATTAGAACGAGAAGCACTCGTCAACGGCATGTCCGTGGACCAGAGTTCAATCCCATCACCATCATGTGAAGCTTGTATCCAAGCCAAACAAGCTCACCGGGCTTTTCCCCAGGAGGCCACACATCGCTCCGAGACCCCTGGAGAGCAGGTAATGTCAGATGTGTGGGGACCTGCAGGAATAAAGTCAATAGGGGGATTCAAATATTATATCTCATTCATGGACGACGCGACCCGGTATAGTCATGTTCTATTTTTAAAGGACAAGACAGAAGCCTTCTCGCGCATCAAAGAACATTGCATGAAGGTAGAGCGCCAATTTGGGCGCTATCCCCAGTGGATGCGATTTGACAACAGGCGTGAATTTGTGAATTCACATGTGAAGGATTGGGCGACAGAGCACGGGATAGAACTGGAACCCACGGCACCCTACTCCTCAGCCCAAAACGGAGTCGTGGAAAGATTTAACCGCACCATGTTGGAATTAGCAAGTGCGATGCTAATTGCCAAAAATATGCCTTTATTTCTGTGGGACAAAGCAGTGGTGCATGTGAATTATCTTCGCAATCGGGCACCAACACGGGCGCTTAAAGGGAAAACCCCTTATGAGGCGTGGCACAAGTCAAAACCAGATGTTTCTCACTTACGGGAATTTGGATCTGATGTGTGGGTACTCGACGAAACCGAAAACCTATCTAAATTAAAGCCGAGATCAAGGAGAATGATTCTCGTAGGCTTTAATGATGGTTCTAAATCAATTCGGTATTATGACCCACAGCACCGGAACATCAAAGTCACCTGAAATTTTGTCTTTAATGAGAACGAAGAACCACGGAAAGATCCGTTCAACACAAAAATTCCCGGTTTGTGGCCCGAGGGGGAGTTGAGAATGATTCCAGACTCGCAAACCGAGCCAAATATGGAAACCGTGCCACATAAACAGCCCGAGAAACCGCAGAAACTGCTCGGGGAGCCCAAGATAATTGAGGTGGATGATTCAGATAATGAGGGGCATTACTCAGACGAAGATAAACGACAGCTACGACCCAGAGACAAGGATATTGACTACAAGAAACTCAATAATCCTGATGCAAGAAAGCCTGCAGCCAGAAAATCATTAGATCTTCGTTATACTCCAACTCCCTCACCACCTCCTGATGTCAGCAGACCCACAGAGTCATCTAAAGCAAAATCAAAGGCAAAAGAACGAGCCAACATAGCCATAGAAAAGTTATGGGAGGCATTATTGGAGGAAGCAGAATTCTCAAATTCAGCTCAAGAACCAGACTTACCAAGAACTCCGGAGGAAGCACTTGCAGGAAGCGAAGCTCCTCAATGGAAGGCAGCCATGGACAAAGAAATGGCCACCCTGAGAGCAATGAAAACCTGGAAGAAGGTAAAATTGCCAGAGGGAAGAAAAGCAATAGGATGCAAATGGGTCTTTACCAAAAAGCAAGACGAGCATGGAAATGTCGTCAAATACAAGGCACGACTCGTAGCACAAGGTTTCTCTCAGAAACCAGGCACAGACTACAATGAGGATGGCACATTCGCACCAGTAATGCGATTTGAAACGCTTCGCACTATCCTCGCTTTCGCAGCTGTCCACAATTTAAAGCTATGGCAACTCAACGTGAAGGGCGCCTATTTGCACGGGTGCTTAGCCGAAACTATCTATATGATGCAGCCGCCGTGCTATGACAATGGTACAGGCTTCGTATGCCTTTTAATTCGCTCACTCTACAGACTCAAACAGGCAGGAAATGTCTGGAACCACGAGCTGAATAAAGCGCTCGCAGACATGGGGTTTATTCAACTCAAGACTGACTATTGTTGCTATATTCGTCGAAATGGCGACGAATTCACGATCCTGCTCGTATGGGTCAACGATTTTATTTTGATTTCGACCTCTGACAGCTTAAACAACCGTGTAGAAGAAGAACTACACACCAAATTTGAGGTCAAATCATTGGGACGACCCTCAATGCTCCTGGGCATCAAAGTACACCAGGAGAACCATCTTATTTTGCTTTGCCAGATGCATTTTATCGAGAAACTCCTTATAAAATTTGGACTCGAGAATGCGAACGCAGCAACGACACTGTTGGACCCAAATGTCAAGCTGAATGATCCAGAACTCGAGGAGGATGAGTCCAACGAACAGGAGCCTGATCCGAGAGGCATGCATAGTTATGCAACTCTCATTGGATCTTTAATGTATCTCGTGATCGGAACGCACCCAGATATAGCTTATGCTGTAAATAAGCTCGCGCAGTTCACGCATGACCCGAAACCAATGCATTGGACCGCCGTGAAACGGGTATTCCGTTATCTCAAAGGAACGAAACATCACGCACTTACCTATGGCGGATCCGACGAAATTTTAAATGAAGAACTCAACTTTTATTGCGATGCTGATTGGGCATCTGACGCGGACCGAAAATCGATCAGTGGATATGTGGTCACAATGGCTGGCAGTGCGATTGCATGGAGCTCGAAGAAGCAACATACCGTAGCACTTTCAACTGCAGAAGCCGAATATGTCTCTGCTGCGCACATGGCGACGCAAGTTCTTTGGCATCAATCACTATTTAAAGAACTTGAATTCCCACTTGAGAAGACTTTGACCATCTTCTCGGACAATCAAGCCACGATTGCGATTGCGCACCATCCCGAATTTCACGCGAGGACGAAGCACATTGACATTGCAATTCATTTCCTATGCGACCTCGTACAACATGGGACTCTTAATCTCGTGTACATCAATACCAAGGACAATCTAGCCGATCTATTTACAAAGGGACTACCTAGGGTACAGCATCAAGACCTTACTCATAGGATCGGCATTCTGTCCGAGTAAGGGGGAGTGTTGGAATCGGCAGGACAGGCCGCCGGCAGTCTGTACTCGGACATTCCACCTCGACGAGTCGCTCCTCGATTTGTCGTGTACCTTCTCGTTTATTCTAATTATTTCCTTATGGACATTTTACTTAGTATAGTATTTATTAGAATATTCTAGCTACTTTGTACGTAGGTATATAAGCCCTCTCGACGGGCGCTAAAGAATGAATCGTCTCTTAACCACATACCACCACCACTGCGCCAACAAGAAGTACTAATGTTTGTGGCATGGGCTAACTTTCTCCCATGCAGCGACAAATTAACATGCATGCATGAACTTGCCCAAGCCTTTGAGTGTGCATCAGGCAAGTGGGATCAGCAACAGCATGCCAGCATTTGATGAGGGTGAGACAGCAGCCTCATAGACAGCAGTGGACATGACTAATTAGTGTAAAGGTCATGAGGTGGCACATCCAATTCGAGCAGGGTACATTGCTATATAAGCCCTGACAGTTGGTCTACCTGACCTTGGACTGGGCCAGACAGACAAGTCCCATGCTAGCTGGGCATCCTCAACACCTTGACACTCAGTGCATTGCCTCATGTACCCATGTATACGTGATTGCAGTCTACTGGATGGAATAGAAACTGTGTCTTGAGGTGCTGCTATGCAGTATTAGGGGTTCCCTTAATGTCTCAGAGGTGTAAGAATGACGATCCCTGTCACTCTATGCATTCTGAGGGCCTGATGTTTGTGGAAAGGGCATATATAGTTCTCTATTAGTTCAAGATGTGTTTGAAAGGACTTCTTGAACCTTGGTGGTTCATCCCTCAGCTTCCAGAAGGTGACTCAGAGGTGTAAGCAGTACAGCTGGCCATTGACTCAGGACGAAGCAATGAACAGCCCTCTAGTAGCACATTAAAGTAAAATAATGTAGATTCATGGCTTGTACCTACCATAGGAAAGCTAAAGTGCATCAAGTTAATTTTGTAAGGTACATGTTAAATGTGCAAGCACAAATAACTTTCCTTAACTTTTGTTAGTGTACCTAACATGCCACCCAAATTAAGCATGCACATGCAGCTAATTTTTATGGTACTGCTGCTACAGAATCAACTTGTGTGTGTGTGTACTTAATGTGTGCAGGTGTACCTAACTTGTGTGCATGGACCAGTTTACGTTAAGTAAAAGGAGGTATCAGAAGCTGAATGTTTACTTCCTGTGCTGATGTGTACTTCAGCACAAGTATTTCTCTTTATTGGCAACTTTCAATTTGAGGCAGTATCCTTTGCTTCAGCTGCTTGCCAGCCTTCAACTTGGACATAGGCTGGCCTGGTGGTGGCAGCTGATATTGAGCTTTAATGACACAATAATATGTAGTGAATGAATCTGCAAAGTATTCTGAACATTTTCATGCTGTTGTGATATGTTAAAGAGAAGGGAAGGGAACATATCTAGCAACTGAAAGAAATTTGTCTGTTGCTCTGCCACTGATCACATTGCAGAACCAAATATCTAGAATGGATAATGTACAGTCATGGAATAATTGGACATGCATGTATTTAAACTAGCCAATACCTTTGTTTCAGGAGTAAGATGAGGCTGCACATGTATGTCATGATAAAAAAGCATTTAGGCGCTGGTCAGAATGCGTGAGAAGTTCCAGGCCATCAGTCCCATACCTCTTCAATTATTATGCACTCTCTTAATGCAGGAATCTCACCTGGGTACTTGGAATAAATCTTTCATAATTATTCTTCATATCTAAACCTATTTCACATTGGAAAGACAATCCACATGTCCACCAGGCTGCAAGGAGCATGCTCCAAGGTCTCATCACCTGTGGCTGTGCTCCCATCAAGCCTTTGGACACCAGAGTTCAATGCAACATTGGCCCAATGGGCATCTCCCATTCTGCCTGGGATAAGATTTAACCCCTCATACATGACCCCATATACCACTCCTACACACCTGCAAACACCTGTATAATATTGGTTCTCACAGCATGAGCAACAGAAAGATTTAATCACAACCAGCAAACACCTTAGTGGCCCAATTCATAATGTTTGCATACGTATATGTACCACTGGCTAACATACTGCCCACCATCTATATACCAGCACTTGCTGGACCTAACTGCCCCTACCCATCCACATCTGTTCTTCTCTCGGAATGCCCAACCCAGTTACCTGCAACTCACATGCACTCACAAGTGCATGGCACATGCCCAACATCTAACTTGCTTGCATTGGTCAACTTTCTCCACCGACATACATGTATGGAGGCTAACTTTCAGGTGCGTAAAAGTCCAACAAGTTGCTTGTGAAATTTAACTTGAGAAAAAAGTTACTGCACATTAATTTTGTAAGGTGCATGTTTATTGCACTTTTCATATATAATGACACTAGCAAGTGACCTGTGCTTCACATGAGGTTTACCATTTCATTGTGATGCATATGATTCAATGAATTAGAATTGAATAAATTTACTCATGGAATTGCAAGCTTCAGTACCAGTCCACTGGCTGGTAAGTTACCAGTTCCCAGTCTCCTCTGATTTTCTCTATTACTGAAAGTAAGTGACTCCTGATTTGCACAAGGTTTTTCTGCACCAATTCATTGCAACACATATTATTTGATACATTGCAGAACTGAAGAAATTTACCACGGAATTCTGACTTTCAATACTGCTCCAGTGGCTAGTCATCAAACTGAAAGCAACTAAATAATACCCATTTCAGGGCAGGTTACAGTACCGGTCCCCTGAATGGTGTTCCAATGTTCTCTAGCACCCTTTTGATTGAATAGCTGCACCCCCCTTGCTCCTCCCCACATTTTTTGTGCTCATTTACTCTATCATTTACTTTTTCCCCTGCAAGAAGTTGTCATCTACATAGTGCAAGATACTTAGTTGCATCTGGTTTGAAGTTCCAAGCTTTTATCATGCTTCAAATGCGCACCCAGTGTATCCCTGGCATCTCCAAGCGCCCTTTGAGCATGTATCAGATACCTAGTACATGCTAACCAAATAAAGTGACATTTATACTGCATACTCTACTGTGTTTCAACCACAAGACATTTATCTCAAAGCACTGAGCTGCATCAGATGCACTGAATAGGGGCATTACCATATTTGTGATCTTGCACAAAAATATCCTCAGGACACTTCAAAACCTGTGTTTTCTCTGGCCCAAAGTGCCTGTTGACATGTTCTAATGCAGCACAACATCTTCCAGTATGATATAACCTGGGATAGCCAGGATGTTGCCATGCCCCATCACAGAATTCATGTTTGTCTTTGTCCCTCAGCCAATGAGAATGCGCCCTTTTACCCCTGTGGGAAGAGACACCCTACCAGTATTATAATAGATATTCGAGAAGAAAATGTTTCGAAGTTCGAGAGGGTCAGGTCGGGGTCGACTCGGGACCGACTCAGGCTGCTCCGAGGCGTTTAGAAGATGCCGCCCTGCCAGATTACTTAACAAACGCTGACGACACCAAACCGTTGGCGAGCCTTATTTGGGATGGCTGATGCCAGCAAAATATTTTTGGAGGTGGACCATTAGCCAGAACAGGCATGGCCGACCTCCCTGACCAGCGCTCAGGATGACACCAGCGATCTCCACAGTCATAGTCAGTGACCCTTAGATCTAACGGCTCTGCTTGACCCTGCTGACCTCCCCAACCGATTTTAAAACTTTTTTCCTTGAGTGTCATTACTTATGAAAAGTGCAATAACGTGCAAGTAACTTTGTTAACCACCGTGAGTGAGTGGTCCAGCGTTGTGCAGCAAGGCCGATTCCATTTGACCGACTTTGCTCATGCAGGATAGCATTTCTCTTGGGGCACAACATCTGCCTCCCCAAAGGATGGGCTTCCCCCACGTCGGACTCACGCCCATGGCTTCAGCACACCATCTTGGGTGAGGCTGCGTTCGTTCATCCCACCAACCTCCTTCCGCACCATAACATTTCATGGCTAAAATTCAAACATTCAATGTCGCTCAGGAGAATAGGCATTTGAATGGGGAGTCATTCAAACGTAGTCAGTGTGTAGTGGTTACAGTAAATGTATTTACTTTTTAAACTTGTTTAAACTGAGACACGTTTAAATGCAGAGTTTGAATATATCAAGCAAAATTTGTAAGCGACAAACTAATACCAACATAATGGTTGTTTGAATGGGTTTAAAAATATTTGAACTTGAATTTAACCAGGTTTCAAACTCCCTTTGAATGAACATGTTCAAAGAGTGTTTAAACCTGTTCAAGTGCTTGCTTGAGCTGCTGCTGTAGCCGATTAGCATATCACCAAACTACGACCAGACACCTACTCACCTTTTGCCTGTGCAGCTTCATGGCAAACATCTTCCCAATCTACAGCTGTCACAGGGCAAAGCTGCATCACCATTTCTGAGAGGGTTTCGTCTTCAGAGGGCCACTCGCCGTCGAGCGCAGCAAAGTGCTCATGAGCAACAGATTCCATCTTCTGGTACATGGCGGCCTTCTGAAAAGCATAGGCTCGGTATCCAGATGACTGGTCAAGACCAGATCCTTGGGCGATACGAAGAGTCTTCTGATCGGGGGCGTACTTGCTAGAAATGGAGCTTGCGAGGGTGGTCCAGGTAGTTCCCATCATGCAGCATGCACGTATCAGGCATCGGAATTCCTCTTCCAAGAGCTCGACCTCTTCTACCCAGCACTCCATGTCAGCGCGGGCTCAAAACCATTGGACCTTTTTGACTGAGATTTATGAGTAAGGAAAACAAGCTGACAAGTAAAACGACGCACGCTGAATCAGGAAATCAGCCTTCTGAACCTCGTCCATCCCATGCAACCTTCCAAAGCCCCATATCCAGCTGTCCATATTTGAGCCATCCTTGAGCTTGTGTGCTGATGCAGCATTCTTTGCAAAGGTGTCTTCTTCGGACAGCTCTGGGAACTCGGATGCCACCTCAGCCTCATCGTCAGCAAGGGAAAGCAGTCGGCGATGAGCCTCACGGTACTGGGCCATCCAGACCTTCTTTTTGTCCTGAACACTCCTGATGAAACACATGGATCTTGTGTTTTGGTAGACACCATGGGAATGTGCCTTCTTTGCATCCAGAAGAACCATACCATGCAGGATGGTGCTGCAGAGTGATGAGACAGTGTCATTGGCCTCACCCTCCCACAACTGATACTCCACTTTCGCAAGCAAAGTGAGGCCCAGTGTCTGGTGTTTGTCGGCTGTGAAGTCGGATGGAAGGAGTAGGACCTCAGCCTTGGCAGGCAAGGCAACATCGAGGGTGGTGATAAAATCTTCGAGCTGAGGGAGTGCACGGATTTGAGTCTGACACCATGATTCAATCTCACTTCCTAGAAGGGTATGACAATGCTTGAGTGTTTCGGCATTGAGAGTGCCACATGCTGCGCAGTGGAGGTCCCTCCTGCAGGACGAGATGTGAGCCTGTCTTTAATGAATCAAGCAGAAAACATACTGCTTATCCTGTAGCTTAATACCTCAGTGGATGAGATGTGTAGTTGAGGGTAGAGATGCCGACTCCCGTTCGCAAGCAGTGTTTCGCTCCTTGTCGGAACGATCAAGGGATTGAAAGATGGCAGCTTGGCTGGGTACTATTTAGGGCAGGTCAGTGGAAATAGTCACGTGAAGGGCATGGCCACCAACGCTTGGATCCCTCAAGACGGTATACGCTGTGCCACTCTCCCTCCTCTGGGTCGTACCATGCCATCGTCGGCTCCTTTTCCCAAGTTCGAACCACAGACTTGCCATGTAGTATGCTTAATCCAATAAAATGGTCAATTTTTTCCTGCCGCATTGCTCGTGCTTTAATGAGGGCTTTGGTGATAGAGCTCCCTGTCCAAATATGTCAGTAACTAGGGAAACGATCATCAGTACAAAATTGTTGCCAAGTCCCTGAAGCTTTGTCCAATTCCAATCATTGTGAAAGTCAATAAGGGTATCATGTCAATGGCCGTGATTCATCTGCCGTGTGCTCCCGCCAGACTGCTTTGTTTCGGCCCAGGATTGCTCGATTCCCTCCCCATGGCTCTGGCCAACACCTGGGAAATAGTTCAATGAGAAGCAATATTTACAATCCTCCTTATGTCCATCCAGGTGTTTCTTAGGAACAAGAAGGTGGACCATGTTAATCATGTCTTCCAGTGCAGGAAAGTTATCCTTGAAGCGCTTCTTGAGATGGACATAGTACTGGCAGACCACATCATATGAAAGGAGGATGCAGGAGAAGAACTTGGCAGAGCGGAGTGAATTGGCAGCTGTAAACCATTGGAGGGCATATGACAATGCGAAGTCCATGTTAGCATATCTCGACAGATCAATTAGTTAATTGTTCAAGAGGGGACACAGCAGTTTTATTTACCGTTCGCCTTTTTGCAAATCAACCATGAATAAGAAGATTACATGACGCATGCATTCAATTGCCAGAACACCTGTGATAACGGCCCCCGCAAACTTGATCTTGTTCTGCAGCTCAACAGCGCTGAAGTTTGAGCAAGTAGATTTCTGCCTCATGGTCAGGTGGTGTTCATGCTCGTCAAAAGAAATCAGAATACCTCTTCGGAGTATGCAACGATATTCATCACATACTTGTTGTATATATCGTCCTTGGGAAAGAATCCTGCCCTTCTAGGAGAGAGATGTCATCAGGGTCGTCAACTTTGGCCATGCGTTGTAAGCCAAAATGGCCATCCGCCATTAGCATGAGCATATTCAGATAACTATAATCGAATATAATGAGCACAGATATTCAATATTCCTCAAAAGGCATACACTAGATTCTCATTGAGGGAGTCCCATTGCTCCTCTGGGACATTAAATCCCAGTTCTGGACATGCAAAACATGGCACGGTCACATTCCCGGGCCATCGAAAGGGGAAGAAACAATCAATGCCATGGACTTGGCTGCTTCGCTTGAGGTTTGTAAGCGCGTGCCAGACCCGCTGAACATGGAGGAATTGTTGGTACAAATTCTAAGTGAGGGTCAGTGCTGGACAGGCAGGGCATAGAGGGAGGATGTACAGGAACATCATCAACAAAAGCATTATTTGTTTTCCGTTGGAGGGCCGTGAAGTAGTTGTATGATGACTTCTTTGAAGTTAAGGTGGCAAGGTGGAAGTCTTCGAGAACACGGAAGGTAAATCCAACCTGTGGTACATTGACCATTCCAGGGACAATGTGGGCCTCTAGTAGGTGATTGACACGGTCATGATTTTGCCCAATGCAGTTGCAAAAGGAGACCTTTGTTCGATGGACCCCATTCGTGTCAATGAGGATGAAGTCCACAACAGGCGCTCCAGGGCAAGAGTCTCCATTTTCGTTATGGCCAAACATGATAACACAGCTGAGTTCCGAGATATCCTTCCGTTCAAGAAACCTCCCATTCCAGACTTCTGCCCAGTGATGATAAGTCTGCTGATGTCGATCAAGGAAGCATGCGGGGCAACATGTCAGGGAGGGGCTACAATCCCTACAATAGCATGTCCGAACTGCTGATTCCCTTCCACATCCACAGGGCTCGCCAATCTTGGGGGGACTTTCCTGCGAGAACATCCAATAAAGAATCTTGGATGAAATTGTTTGAAACACTTTCATATATGAAGAGGCTCCCTTGCATATAAGACATAAATAGATGCATCTCATGCATGCGTTATCTGTGAGATAGCTACCTGGGGCTTGTGAACACGCTTCAGGACATCTTTATCTGGTGCACACTGAGCTTGAGGGGGTCCAGCTTGGATCCCATCATTGGCTTCATTGGAATCAGCCTCTTGTTTGGTGACGTCGACCTTCGCACACTTAGATGAGCCGGACAGAGAGGTGGACTGTTCGCCTATCACGTCCAAGAAATCATGATGAGCCGAATGCTTCTTGATGTTGCGCTTCTTCTTAAGAGAGGTGTTTCCGAACATGAGCACTAGGTTGTATGGTAGAGCTTGTGGGCGGAAGGAAAGCAGGATTGGATCAAACACTGGTCAACCACCTTGTCTTGGATCAGGCATTGTCACATATTATTTCACAGATAATAGAACAATTGTTATTGTGTTCAAGGCTGTCAAAACTTCAAACAATTAATTATGTATGATTTATGCAATTGTGCTACAGATCCTCCCCAGAATATCCCAATGGCGCAGTCGCAGTTCAGAAATAATTCGTAGGCTAGGTGCTTTGAGATAATCCTCACTGAACTCCATCATGGCTCTCGCATGTGCGTAGCTGACCTGTAACCACTCCCAATATCTAAGCCCTTCCGCCTCTGCAAATTCGCCACAAAACTCATGTTCGGGTACCTCTGGTGAGGGTGCGGATGGGGTTTGTTCCATTGTAAGGTATAAATGGACGGCTTTCATTAACTCCGGCAATGCAAAATGCAGGGATGATCGAATTACTTGACCTTCTCTGACGTGAGCAAGGACAAAGTAGTCCACTGCGGCACCGAGCACAGCACACCAAGTAGGTCTGAAAATGTTGCTTGAATCAAGACATTCTGCCATGAAAGCAACTGACTCACAGAAGGTCATTTTGTATACCAAGATATGAGCGTCGATGAGGTATACAGAAGCTGCAATCTTATTTTAGCATGTGGACTCGCATATGATGAAAGAGAGACTCACCGAAGCGCTCATTGTGTGAACGGATTGGGTATATACTTGATGAGTGCGTGACCTCTACAACCGGCTTAGTGCGCCAGAAAGAGAGAGGTACGAAGCACGTACAAGGGTTTTCCATGGCTGGCATGAGGACTTTGGTGCGGTGCCAGGCATTTTATGGACACCTAGATGCTATTGTTCCTCTCTTTTGCTTCTCAAACAATTGGATTGTTGCCTTAGCGGCGAATCAGAAACAGAAAAACACAATAATAACAATACACCCAAGACCCACATAATAGTAGCGCACGACGGTCCTAGCACTGGGAACTTGGCCCTTGTCTTGGCATAAAATCAGAGGCGCTGACTTATTGGAAGAGGAATGTGGTATATGTTGAAAGACACTTGCAGAGGATGTGGGGGTTGACGGGAATGTCCCTGCGAAGGAAGACGAGGCCTGTGGTATAGACGTGAATTGGATCCTAGAGGCTTATCAGAGGGTTGAGAGCGTGTACCTGTGAGAAACTCATGTGTTCGCTTTGTCCGGTCTTCCAGTTGAAGATATAGAGATAGTCCAAGGACATGGCTCTAACTTGGTTGAAGATGACGGTTAGAGCGAGGTTCTTGCCAATGACTTTGATGCTGATGCTAGGTTGTCCCTGCGAGGCTTGGGCATGACATAGGGTTCTGGAAGGGTTCTGGCAGTCGTCATGCGTCCTCCTCATTGAATATCGCAGCAGGATAGCAACGATATGGGAGGTGTTGCAGTCGTCCTGGGACACTGTGAACAATGAGTATGAGCCATGATAAAGAGAAGGAACACGCACAAAGATATGCATCCCATCAAATCATGCTCCTCAATCACCGTTCTGAAATCAATAATATGCATCCCGAAATCAAACTCGTTCCACTCCACTGAGACCATCTCGAGGTCCTCCAGAAATCTTGCGGGCAGCTGAATGGACTGAATCCCCGTGGTTTCGAACACATCTCTGTTTGATGTCTTCCCAAGGAGATAAACACTGGAGGTGGGGTCATAACCACCCAAAGACTGGTAAGGTACAGTGATGTTCATCTCAAAGCTCCAGTCGAACACCTTCCAGGCCTCTTCACAGCAATCGATTACAGCTGATGGCTATCCGAAATAATGAGCATCAATATGTCAGAACAGGGCTGAAGAAAACGCCAGCCCACTTACCCTGATCCCAATTACCCTCTCCAGGTCCAACAGCATGCCATCAAAGGCATACCACTCCGACACACACCAGGACTTGAGCGGCACAATGAGCGGATTCTGTGTGTCCCATAACAGGGAGATGAACTCATAAATGTATATTCAAATTAAATGTCTTACCTCCTTTCTGGCACGTTGGGAGACGGAGGCCAAAGAGGTGAGATGGTGGTTGGAAAGAAAGATCAATGATGTCGAGAGTTGTTGATCATGGCAGTGGATGATGTCAGCAACTAAGCGTCGGTTTTCTACGTCACATGTAAAACCAACACTCTGGCCATGCCAAGTGCGCCAACCATTCTTGTTTACCACCGCCCTCTCAAACACTCCTCCTGAATGCCTCTGATAGCACGAAACAACTTCCGCGACTTGCGAATGGTGCTGTCCAAGGTCTACGACCTGTTTTTGAAGCAGATCAATGCTGAAGGAAGGGTGGCCGAATTAGCAAACGTTTGGCAAGATAACAATGAGGGGGTAACAAAATTGGCACTGAAAAGATATATTCTGGTTTCTACAGACAGGTAAGCTACTGTCTATCACAAATTTCAAGGACTGCTCACAAGCTTTGCAGCCACCGCCATGTTTGCTCTCCACCCCTCAACATCGCCACTACCTCTATACTCCTTGTGCCTTCATGCCTGAAGACCGAAAGCGACGATGGCACTTTCCCTGATCGAAGAACGCCTCAAATGACCTCGAGCTTTGCCATACCTCAACAACCATGGTAACCAACACACCAACATCGTCTCTCTGCTCTGGCAACTCACTTGAGAAGGGCAACACCAGCCCAGACAAACACCCACCTTCGACACCGCTGGCACCTGCAACAACAGGTCCGTTGAGATCTTTCTTCTGCTTCAGAGGCAACAGCATTCTAGTCGATCCTGCGACTGCTGCGCAGAAGGATACTGTGGATGTGGTCATGGAGGACGCGGGGGAGACTACATTGAGCAGAAGGATACTGTGGATGTGGTCATGGAGGACGCGGGGGAGACTACATCGAGCTGCTGCAGGACCACAACGAAGAGGAGCCAGCGCCGTCCTTCATCCCTAACAAGAGTAGTGTCCAACCACACGGTAGTATCTTTGACAAATGGCCTTCGTCATTGCCGTTCCCTGACAAGTCTCCTTGACAGCCTTGCCCTCCCACCTCTCATGCAAACACACGTCCACCCACACCCTGCCCTCCACCTCAAGCCCATTTTGACGACACGGACAAAGATGATCCTCTATCTCTGCCTTTTAACTCCCTGGAAAACCCATGCACCGAGACCACCACATTGAGCAAAGGCAAAGGCAAAGCACAGCAGACCAAGACCAAGACCACCGCCACCGCCAAACCTCCACCTCCAGCCCGATCCCTACCACCACCACCCAACTTCTCTCGATTGCCCTCTCCCTCCTCTCACTCTCGGTGCTCGTCCTCATGCCCCAAGTCGGCTTCGCAGCCGCAGTCGAGCAGACGGCTGATGCTTGACGAGGACTGCAGAATGCCAGCAGCAGCCCGTACCAAGAGCTCGACAATGACAATGATGGCGTAGAAAGTGGCGTTTTGACGGCTGTGGGCACGAGGAGCAAACGTCAGGGTTTCCTCGCTTGTGGTTTGCAGCCTCATCTTCAACTTCGGGCTCAAGCAGAGTTATGCGTTCAGCGACGGACAACGGCCCGAGGAGACATCTACAAAGTGAACGGCAGTGGCCCACACCTACAGCATCGTTGTCAATGGAGTGGATGGACCCTCGCAGTCTTTTACCATCACTGCCATCCCTCTGTTACTCCATCGCCCCAAGCATTATCCATGCTTATTCACCTCGAGTGATTGGGATGTCCAGGATCGCCTATTGCCCTCTTCAACCAGTGCCACCAGGCTTCGTTTGTCACTTACCACTGTACATAAGCATGTTCCGAGGACCTACAGTACGCTATCTCGTTTCTGGTTCCTTCCTCCTATTATCTAATTTGTCCATCAGATCCTCCTACGTCAATCATACTCTAACCCACAACCCTACAAACCCTCTGCTGGGGTCTTTTCAAGTTCATCTGTCCTTTGATGGCCTGCAAAGTCCAGCGTCTACCAAGCACTCAAGCAGCACATTCTTCTGACAGTGTTGGTATAGAAGGACTATGAAGTTGGCATTCATGTAACAGCCTAGATGATACTGGTAAGTACGTGTGGCATCGTCGGGTGAACCAATAGCTTACACTCCTTTGGTTGCATCAGCCCTCAAGTCGCAAAATCGCTTGAGACAGCTGGCACTGTCATCCGCCCTGTGTCCGGGGGTCAAAGACTATCTTAAGCACCAGTTAAACTGTTATACCTAAAGTTGGATGGGTCGCATTTAGCTGCACAAGAACACGAGCTGAAGGCCTGATTTGGCATTGGCTGCATCAAAAGTGAGCCCAGCAAAGAAACCATAGGTTGCACTGTCGTCGCCATGTTCATGAGCACCCTGATTGTCTGCAGTGGAGAGAAGATATGGTTACCGTCGTTATCCATGAGTTGTCTGAGCATCTGCTGTGCGGTTTGGCTAGATATAGATGTAGGATAGCCCTTATTGTGCGTACAACTATTGTATTCCACAAACTTGGCTGACAATAAATTTCACCGAGATTTATCTTCACACCCAAATGTGGAATCCCAATCAGGAAATAAGGACTCAGACTCCATTGTCGCCAATTCAGCCACTGCGTCCTCGCTCCTCTGTATTGTCCATTATAATTGTGGACGTGCCTATAAATAGCACCAGTACCATCATGGACACTCTATCTCATTGCCAACATCCTCTCATCTCTCCAACACCATGGTTTTAACACGTCTCACGACTTCTCGTCAACAACCCATTTCCTCATCTACTCGTCTTAAGTGACCTCGCGCCGATTCTGTTGACTTGCCAGCTCCAGTCCCAAAGAAACCGCGAGTGCAAAAGCCTCTTCCTGGTCCAAACGCTTCCGCTGACCCCGCTCTCCAAGGCTGTACAAAAACTGATGCTATATGACTAAACAACACTCAGATCAGCCAACTTTTGACAGAGCTCAGCGCTAAGCCAGCACTTGTCCTGCCGCACCACAAGACTCATAAGCCAATAGGTCCCTTTTTGTCTGTTGGCAAGAAGAACATTCACAACGCTGGACGTTGGTTTCAATTGGTAAGTGTTCCCCAGAAAGGAGGTACTGTGCACATTAACTAAAATGTGATCAACTTACAGTGTGAAAGACACCCAGGTAGACTGTCTAAGGTCCAGGTCAGGGCCGGCCCTCAACTTTTTTGCTGGCCCTTTTAGAATATAGGTCATTTTTAAAAATATGATAATTTCAATAAATGATTAAAATAAAAGACTTTGCAAGGTTCTCTACTCCTCATCACATACAAATTCTAAAGAGAAGTCACCCAGAAACTGGTTCAATGCCTCTTCTTCAGGAACCAAGCGTCCATCCCGATATGCATCACGCAACCGTTGAAGTCCACCAAACTTCTGGTGCTTCATCTGACCACGCCTGCTATCATCTGTACGAGCTGACATTGAAAAGGATCGTTCAGCAAGACAGGAGGAAGCTGGAATAGCGAGATAGTCGCGTGCCATCATTCGGATGACAGGAAACTCTGATTTTTGCAACTACAGAAATTATTAGTAAGAAAGAAGAACTGAATTTGGATTCCACTCACCCCAAACCAGGCAATTGTATTTGGGCACTCTTCAGGTGACAGAGGAGGACGCTGGAAGAACTTGTGGACCTCAGCAAGTGGATCAGTTGAAACTGATTCTCGAGGAGTTGAAGCCTGAGAGCGTGATTTAATAACTTTTGTGCTGTGTCATTCAGTGGCCCCGAGGTCCAGGCCGGATTGTGTTCAATTCACAGCAAATGTATTTTTTTTTTGATAATTAAATGTATTTTTTCCTATATACTACACAGGTACTAATGTAAGAAATGGCAGGGGTTCGAGCGGCGAGGCAAGGGTGGGGGTGTGGCAATTGCGAGGCAATGGTGGGGGCAAGGTGATGGCGAGGGTGATGGCGATGGTACGAGGCGATGGCGAGTGATGGCGAGGGCGAGGGCGACGGTGCGAGACGAGGGCGACGGTGCGAGACGAGGGCGACGGTGCGAGACGAGGGCGACGGTGCGAGACGAGGGCGACGGTGCGAGACGAGGGCGACGGTGCGAGGCGAAGTGCGAGGTGAGGGGGCGAGGCGAGGCGATGGCGACGGTGCAAAACAACGGCGAGGGAGGGCGACGGCGATGGCGATGGCGAGGGAGGGCGATGGCGAGGGAGGGCGAGGGAGGGCGAGTGATGGGCAACGCCGATATGAGTCGAGGAGGGCGATGGCGATGGCGAGTGAGGGCAAGCGAGGGCGATGGCGAGGGCGAGGGAGGGCGATGGCGAGGCGAGTGAGGGCGAGGGCGAGGGCGAGGGCGGC